GCTAATTCAATATTATCAGTATAGTATACCTACAGTTAAAAAAAATCCTAATAACCAACCACAATATCTTAGTAGGTATAGTACTGTACTGCCTCGTTGGTCTAGTGGTTGTAGTAGTGCGACTGCTGATCATGAGATCCCAGGTTTGAATTCTGGGTCGGGCCAAAAAGTCAGGTACGAGTTTTTCTTTTATGTTCAAAGTTATAATTAGTATTACTAAGTTATAGTTTTTTGCTAAAATATAGTATATTATTTATTGCTTGTTTTTTCTTCTTTTTCAAAAAAATATTGAGTACATAAGATGTTCTTAATATACGCCGAATGTCAGAGAGAAAAGCTAGTACATCTTTTGCTAAACTTTAAAATCTAAAACCAATTTTAAAACAGACGAATTGATCATAACTCCCTTAGCTATAAAATAAGTTATGATCTAATTAATGGTATTTATTCCAGTTTATGGCAGCCCTAATTTATATTACGTGGCTGAATTTAGGTACTTTTTATTAGGTACGTCAAACCAAATAACAGCCGGGCGGCTGACATTATGCACTCCACACATTTCTTCTAATTACAGCCCCATTAATTTCCACTAAAAGAAAATAAATAACTTGTTATTTATTTTCTTTAAATTCAAACAAAAATAACTGCATTACTATGTCTATAGTCATATTCAAACAAATCAAAAAGCCTATATATGAGATAATGTAAAGTAAGCATAATTTTACCGGGATCATAACTTGTCAAATAATTAGGAAAATGATCGTTTTTCGTTGCGTACGTGTTTTGATTTTTAATTTAACACTGTTAGGTTTAAAACTGCGAGGTAATATTTGAATAAATATACTTTCCTCAAGGTACAAAGAATTTTTTAGATGACAATATTTGTGTAGGTAAGACTACTAGAATTCTTATTTATGGAGTAAAAAGGCGAAAAGACGGGAATTAGGGGCATGACTGGTATTAAGGGCATCCACCCTAATTCGGTAAAAAGTATCTAAGTAGATATTAATATACCTACCCTGTATAACTAATCGCAATAGGTACCTATGTAGGTATTATGATTAGATAAAAGGTACTTATCTAAATAGTTACCTACTTTTACTAAGTAAGTACTAATACCTACCCGGGCATCATTTAATTACAACCCAAAAACCCCTATAAACTAAAATTTTTTAAAAATAAATTTAACTAAAAAAAAACTAAACTGACCATTTATTTTTTAACTCAAAACGGGACATGGGTTTATACTCTAAAAACTATAACTTTATACAATTAGTGTTCACTATAAAATTATATTCGGTATAGACGGTAATTGTTAAATGCTACATATTTTTTTTTAATTATTAATTACATTTTTCAGTGGATTAAATTAGCTTTAATAAAGTTGGTGATGATTTTAAATAAGTATAAAATTCTGGTCAAGTTTTTTAATTGTTACCTTTGTTAACAACAACTTCGCCTTTAGAACTGGAACCGTAAGTGTTTTTTTCAGACGTCCACAATTTATTTAAAATAGAAAAATACTCTTTCTAATGGAGCATTTGTACCAGGTAGACATAAAATATACTCGATTAAAAAAAATTATGTTGAAGATTGTTATCTTTGAATACTTCCATCCAACGAGTTACAGAGTAGGTATATTTTGAGCTTGAATTAACATAGCCATAGTAAAGACCAACCAAATTATTAAATGTCTAAATATTTAATGAGATATTCGAAAACTCAACTGCCACCGGGTGGGGTTTGAACCCACGACCTAAGCGATCCGTGTCGATGCTCGAACCAATTGAGATATCTACCGTGTCCCACGGCGAAGGGTGTAAATCTGTTTCTTAATAAACGTTTACATTTAATAATAGCTTACATGTGCAAAAACATGGTTAAAACTTGTTAAAAGAAATTAATGACATTAACTTGACTGTATTTTAAAGAACATTATCTGTCTAGAAAGCGCTTGATAGGCCCTCATCTTATATGAAATGGAATAACAGAGTTTTACAATTTATACTATTTACCATTTATTTAAATAAAAAATAAAATACAATACAAATTAAATTACATAACAGTATAGGTACCTACAATAGCTTTGATATTACAAAAATACAAAATGCTCGAATATGACTTCACTCATTCGAAATTCAAAATTTAAATAGGTATTTTTTATTCACGTAGGCATTATAAATACACTTTTGAATAGTGATAATCACTGTTCTCCCCAATTTTTTTCTTTTCCATGTTCAGGGGTACTGATTGTACTGAGAATAATCATGGAAGAAAGTAAAAACCTGAGTAGTTGCTCTTTTCAAAATATTTTTTACAACAGTACTATAATTATGTAAAGCGATAAGTCAAACATAAAATGTCAAATGTATAATATGTAGATACCAAATCGGTATACAAGTACCTTAGTCCTGTGTAGTACGAGAGGTCAGTACCAAGCATTTTTATCGTTAAGATAATCATTTACAGTATAATATGCTTTTTGTCTAAACAATCTTTAATGCGCGACTAAAATTGAAAAGGTGAAAGATCTAACATTTCTTTTAGAATCTTGTTATAAAAAGCGTACACTGCTACCCAAGAATGAATTGTATACTTTGTCTGCCTCGTTGGTCTAGTGGTTGTAGTAGTGCGACTGCTGATCACGAGGTCCCGGGTTCGAATCCCGGGTTGGGCCAAAAAAATCAGTTATTGAGTTTTTCTATCAAGAAATTCTCAGTAGCTGCCCGGAGTCAGGAAGTTAGCGGTGTCTCACCCCCGTGCCTCGGAAAGCACGTTAAGCCGTTGGTCCTGCGCCTGATCTCTCTCCGGTCGTGTCGGTTTACCGTCCCATCGGATTATGAGAGTGAGGGAATAGAGAGTGCATCTGTGCTTGCGCATACACTCGGGCACTATAATCCTGTCCTGCGCAGATGGCTAGTCTCCGTTGAGGCTGGCCGGCGTGACCGAAATTCGGTCTGGAGGACATTATGTAACCGGAAAGTAGGTAATGTGATTTTAATTTTATTTCTTCTATTAAAATTGTGCAAATCACTATTCTTTACATGTAAGTGAATATTTTGTTATACATACATGATATTTGCAAAAATATATTGTGATGCAACAGTCAAGGTACCAATTTCTTTAAACAGTTCTCTCAGATATACTCGGATCCTAAGCAGTACATAGATCTTATTGCACGCTTTTTATTTTATATGCACACTTTTTATATTATTCTATTAGCATTGTACAAAATTTTTACACGTTTCAAGCGTGTTAAAAGTGTCTACAACTGCAATTCATTTCCCGTCTAACAGCCATGAGATTAAGAGTGTGATCGGAGAGTTTTTGTGTTCTTCTGCGGCGGGTCTTGCAAAACTTGGAATGCACGGCTCTAGAGATATCCTCATACATTTCCTCCACCTCCTCATCGGGGTGTGCCGAGGTTGGTGCATAAACCTGTATGACCTTCAGCGAATACCGTTTGGTGATTCTGAGTATAAGGTACGCAACCCTTCCGTATCTTCGTTAATTTCATGGGGAGTATATTGCCATAGTTGCCACGCTTGGTCTATACTCCACGATTGAAGCTTAGAAGGGATCTCGAGGGGCGAGGGGTGATGTTAGCTGTCACATATCATTTTGCTATGACGTTTCCTAAGTCCAATATTTTTTCTGCAACGCGACTGGCTCGTGTACGCCGATTTCGGCGTAGTATTTGTTGCCGCATTTTACAAGAGCGCCGGCGGTATCTAGTCTGAACGCGCGAAGACCTATCAATAATCTAAGGTTCCCAAGGAGGTTGTAAAATATTATATTATAACCTCCTTGAAGGTTCCTAATTTATTCTGATATTAATCTAGATAAAACTGTAAATGATTACAGAATCGACATCCATTTCTCCAAGAATCGAATTTTATAGGTATCGATTTTTCACTTTCTTTTTTATTTTGTCTATATGGCCCTTGGTATTGTGGACTTTTCACTTGGTATGCTTAGGATCCATTAAATGTGACAGCTGTCAAAAGTTATATCTATGTTTGTGATTTGTGTTAGTCTGTGCTGTGTGCTCTGTCCAGTGTGACCATATGTAGCAGGTTCCTGCCATTTTGGCAGGATTGGCCTCTTATTTTAACCTCTGGCATGATCGGTTGCCTTTTTTAAAACCTGGCAGTATTGGGGTGTTAAAAATAGATTTCATTATGGCAACTTAAAATGCCGAAAATGGCAACTCTAGATACCTCGCCAGCATGTGGGGGATTTCCCTGTGCTTCTCGTATTATATTTGTATCACATTCAATTTAAAACTTTATGTTGATAATCTTAAAATGAGTATTCATAAACACGAGTTTATGGTTAATATTTCAATCAGTCATAGAAGAGACAAACATTAGTTTCATGTCGCATTAGATTTCATGGTGATAATATCTTGTTAATAATATTTCGTGGACGATAGTAATTACAGGTGGTGGTGATGAAGCGAAAATATGAAAGGGCGTATAGAGCAGAGTGGGAGCAAGATTCTTTACTTTCGTCGTGGATCTCCAAAACTAAAGGTGATCCAGACTGCAAATTGGCACCCCGGCTGTCTGCTTTAAAGGAGCATGCCGCCACTGGTAAACATTTGAAAAATATGAGTGAATTCAGCATGCGAAAGAATCCTCTCTCAAATAAATTTAAATAAGACAAAAACACGATTTAAAAACAAACATATAGCGTCTATTTTGCACATTAAATAAAGCATTGGTGAGCGTGGCGATTGCATTGCATTCAAACTAACGAAATATATGTTTAATTTAATTTTATAAAAATATAACATTTAAATGTGTATTTTTACTTTTCTTAGTTTAATACAATGGTAAATAAAATTGGCAGTATTTAGGCATTTTTCACTACAGACTGGCAGGATTTGGCAGGTTTCTAACAAAGGCAGGATATGTATTTTAAAGATGGTCATACTGGCTCTGTCACTGTCAGTAACTGTGTCGGTCGGCTACAAAGTTGTCTGTGTGTGTGTGTGTGTACTTGGCCGGGCCGGGTACTTACTAAAAGCACACAGTATCATTTCATTTTATAACCAAGGAACTAAAAGTCTAAAGGTTAAATAATAATAAAAAAGGTTCGTAAAATTATTGATAAATTTTATTACGTAATGTTTAAAATATGGTATTCGCCTAATTTGCTCTTTCATACAAAGTTAGAAATATTTGTTTAAGTAAAATTTTAATATTAACATATAAATATCACTAAAATCAAAATAGGTTATTTGAACACTACTACATTTTGAGGAATTAGTTTTTTTTTTAAATTAGTTTTGAATATTAGTTATTACACAGCAATATTTTAATATTAATGTTTATGTTATTAATAAATTGGTATTTCGTTCAGTTATGGGAATGAATAATACATTTTTTATTAAAAACTTATTTTTAATAAAAACTGTATTATTTTATTATATAAAACTTTATTAAAACTTGTTTTTACGGATTTTATCGCGTATAATAACTTATTTTATATTGCCGACGTTACGAGCACCTTGACCTATGGTCACGAGGGGGGGGGGGGGGTGAGGTGTTCGACATCCCAATGTCATAGTATTAGTCCTATCTATTCTAACTACGATTACATTTTCTAACTTCCTAATTAGATTTTCTAAAAATTGAATAATGTAATAAACGCATTAGAACAGTTAGAATCCGATTTAGTTAAAGTTGGAGGTCCCGACCGCTCTACTTTCTAAATTGTCTGCAATTTAGGACACTGTAATCGCAACATTATGATTTAGATTAGAACGACCAGTCAGCACCTGGGCTTTGATCTAAGTGGATGTCTTGACTGTGCGTGTGACATTTGTTTGCGATGGCGAGTGAAGCGACAGAATCGAGCTGTTGTTTGTGTGGCAGCATGACTACAGAAAAAGAGGTGTTATTACAAATTATAGACCTGTATAGGGAAATGCCTTATTTGTATAATAAAAATGATAAAAACTATTTAAACAAAGCAATGCGTGAAGAGGGCTTCAATGTATTGTTAAATATTTACAAAAACTATGACAGAAACGGAACTATTAAAACATTAAAGAAAAAAATAGACAACCTTTCAATGCATTTTGTTACCGGCCTCGAGTTACCCTGAATGCAGTTTTCCCAATATTTTCATTGTACAGAGACCAACCCTTCACAATTTTATTATTTATAGATTATAGATTAACTCACCTGTATGTAATTTCTTAAACATTTTTATATTGCCCAGCATGTTTCTGGAATAAGTTTAGATAAAAAAGGTTCAGATATCAGAGAGCAGTACTTTAAATCTTGATGTGAATTTCCGGTGGCTAAAAAACGTGTTGTCACTATCAAACATTCTATGGTACTCACACTTTCTTGAAATATCGTGACTTCTTTTTCGATATGTTTGGATACCAAACTTAACAAATAATCAAATTGCTTAGAATCAACTCTTAAAAAATTTCTTTAGTCACCAGGTTCCAAAATATGCACTATATTCATATTGGACAGTTTTTTTTCTCAATGACAAGTATTCTTTAACCCAGCATTTTCTCTTTTTTTTAATATCTATTGTTCCCACCACGGCTAAGGCAAGTCCTATTTTCTGCTGTTTTGATAAATACGGCGCCATCGATCAAACGTGCAACGCCGTCGATACTTCTTTTACGAATTTGTTTCATCACGATTTAGAATTCAATTAAGTGTAATGTGATCACTAGCTTCCAACTTAGGTTCCTAATTAGATTTTCTAAAAGTTGAATAATGTAATAAACACTTTAGAAGTATAATATCTCTATGATTTTTGTAGTGTTCACATAAATATAAGAAATCATTAGAATAAACATTATTCATACACATTACTTAGTTGACTATATGATAAAAAATGAGCAATACGAAATTAGTCCTAAAATATTTTACGATATAGAACTCAGAGTGTTAAAATGAACTCTGCTTTAAAGTTTTGTTGCATATATTATTGTTAGGAATAAGACCAATAAATAATAATATTTATTGGTCTTGAGCTCAGTCCCAGTATCTAAATAAAGTGTGATGAAATAATAGCGTATTGTAATTCTGTGGATTACTAATATCTTAATGAATATTAATATATCAGTTCCACAGTCAATGCATATTTCCTGTTAAGCACAAGAAAATGAATTTAGTTCAACTTGCAATAACTATGTTTTAAATTGGAATTTTTTGTGTAGTTCAAAAAAGTCTATAGTCCGACAAATCAAATAATCTTACACCACCTTACCAAACATTTGTTGCATTACTGCAGGTCGACAGCATAGTCAGTCTTCTTTGATGATGGCAATGGTGCCTATAGATTTGAAATTGGAAATTATTGCACCATTCAATGTGCTTTATTTTTTGTTGTTGTTAAATTCTTAAAATGGTAAGTGGCCACTATAGTCCATTAACATGCAGTAGAAAGGAAGGCCACACATGCTAATAAATATACTGCACTGCTCTCTTACCTTCAATCTGAAACCCAGCTGATTATCAGATGGAAAATGAGGCCTACCACTCAATTTGTTTATTTACTTTAATTTTTACATTTTCAGAAATTAAGAATGGATTCCTTGGAGTTAGTGTCATCAAATAAAGTATTTGGAGGCTATCAAAAAGTTTACTCTCATGAGTCAGCTGAGCTGAAATGTAAAATGAATTTCTCTATTTATCTGCCACCACAAGCTGAAGGAGGCGATGTTAAGCTACCTGTAATTTTCTATTTATCTGGCCTCACCTGTACTGAGCAAAATTTTATAACAAAATCTGGTTTCCAACGGTAAGGTTTAAATTATGTAGTTCATGAAACAAATTATCACATTTACTAAGGCTAAATTTAAATTAAAAATAATTTGTCCGACTTATGACATGACAAAGAGAATATTAGGTGTAAGAATATCCCTTATCCCATATCATCCCCATGAAACTACCTGTAGCAAGGGTTTTATTTCTGAACTAACTTTTACCCGCGACTTCGGGTACATACAACTTACACAACAAATAAAACCTGCAGATCTATAGTAGGTTTTGGGCTGGTAGTTCAATTATGAAAAAAAAACACTTTAAACTCAGTTTTTTTGCTATTGTCTCTAAAATATGTAAGAGATAGAGAACTTAAAACTTTGAAAAGCATTTTCATTTATTTATTAATATTAAAGTGAGAATGTCCTCCAGACCTAATTTTAATTATGGCGGCTAGTCCCAGACATATGTGCACTCTCTATTCCCTCATTATCATAGTTTAATAGGAAAGGAGCCTGGTATGACAGGAGAGAGAGAGATCAGGAGCAAGACCAAGAACTTTACTTGCTTTTGGAAGCACAGGGGGAAACACCATCCAACTTCCTGACTCCAGGTTGCTTTTGAGAATTTATTGACAGAAAAATCCAATAACTGATTTTGTCCAGAGCTGTGATCACATGATAAGCAGTACTTACGATCACTAGATTATACAGTCAATGCATTTATTTTATAACATGTTGTCAAATAAACTAAAATAGTACATACAGTAGAAGTATAAATTTGCAGTCCTGATAACTATCATGCTTCACATTGATGATTTTTTTATCATTTGTATTCATAATATGACCTTTACATAATATGTCAATGATTTATCTTGGAATTAAAAAGTAAAACATATTATGTAACAACTTCATATGTTCATAATATTTGATGAATTTTATTATGCAATAAAAAATTGAAATAAGCTGATAGCTTGCCTAGCTCTACTACAAAAATACAATTTGCAAATGAATTTTTTATTCTTTATAAAAACTTTTTGGTTCTCCATTATCACTCTTGAAATTAGCGAATTGGTTGAAACACTTGGAAACTACTGTCGAGTGTTTTAGTGAATTGTAACTAGAACTGTATCAGAATCTTTTCAAGAGACAAGATCCAAAAATATCCTAATTGACGCACTCATCACCACGCAAGTATGGTGGTTTGGTCGGGTGTTTATTATGAGGGGACCACTTCACTTTATTATTGGCAGCAAGGCGTCAAAGTCAAGGCACAAAATTATCAAAACGATATCTTGGAAGACATGGTTAAACTGTTAAGTGGTACGATATTCGCCGGCAAATACTAAGTTTTACAACAAGACTGTATTTTCCCACAAAACTAAGTCTACCCAACGTTGGCTAGAGACCAATTTGCCAGGCTTCATTCGCACCAAAAATTGTTTATTCTTTATCTACTCAATTGGAACTAAGAGCATGCAGAAATTCCTGCCTACCTGGATTCCTTCAAGCCCTTGTCAAGAAATTGATACCAATTTCATTAAATAAGATCTGTGCTGCTAGCACAGTAGCAGCATAGATGTTATATAATGAAATTGGTTTCGATTATTTATGCATATACATGGCCCACACTTTCGAAAGCTATGACAATAATGGTCATTTATATACATAACACACACTAACACAACACATAATATAAATAAAACATATAGATTTCTTCAAAAATATTTGAGTTACACTTACGTTGTCTCAAAACTTATGAACACAATGTATAATATTCTTTTATCTCTATTTTAGATATGCAGCTGAACAGGGCATTATTGTTGTTGGACCGGACACTTCTCCCAGAGGAGTAAAAATACCAGGTGATGATGAAACCTGGGACTTTGGAGTGTCTGCTGGTTTTTACTTAGATGCCGAAAAGGATCCTTGGTCAAATCATTACAGAATGGGTAGCTACTTGAATAAAGAGTTGTATGACTTAATACTGAAAGCATTTTGTAATGTAGTTGACCCAAACAGAATTGGCATCATGGGTCACAGGTATATTATTTTATTTTTATAAATTAATGGTAACTAAGGCTCTTTTCTGGGTAAAATGAAAAATCGAATTACATTGCAACCACTGATAATAATTAATCAATGTGATATAAATTGTTGCTAAAAAATATATTACATGCTGTAAGCGCAAAGCGCGTACGTATGTTCTAGTAGTAGTAGCCTAAAATCAAGATTTCAACATTTTGTCACATAAAATTGTATCTAACAATCATCATATTGAACATATAAATGATATAAAAAGCACATTGTCAGAAAGATAAATGATTGTTAAACTTATTAATATTTTTTTAAATCGATTAATTACTATTTTTACATAAAAAAGTAGTTTTAGTGGCTTATGGTGTAGATTTATCACGTCCGCATGGAGTGGTAAGCACAATAGCTTTTGAAAATATCAATGGTTTAACTAAATATATTTTTTAATCTCTTCATCTATCATGTGGGTAGCCATGGAATGTAAATCGCAGTTCGTTTTGTTTAGTTATAACTAATTTTTTTCGGCTGCGAAATGTCGAAATTTTCGGTGTTTTGGCAGCCTAGTATTAATTTATTTTACTAAATAGACTGCCTCACTCACTCACTTCGGCGTCAAACGCCGTCGTGAGTGGATACTGTATCGGTTGTTTGCAGCGGCTCAAAAAGATCGCTGTACAAAATACAAAGTATTCAAAAAACAAAACATTATACATGCTTGATTATTATAATAATCAGAGATTTTTATTACAATATTTTAAAAGCACAGAATAAGTAATAGCAGCGCGTACTAAAAGTAAGTAGGATGTATATATTTATACTTAAATACGTCTTTGACTTTATGGAGTGACCTGAATGATGATCATATGAGCATTGTGTCGTGCACTTTTAGCTAGCTTGTTCTTGCAATCTGAAGAGATGCATAATCAACAATATCTAATTTTTTTGTAAGTAAAGGTCTCTAAAAAGTTTTATTTTGTAAGATATATCTGTTCCATTTTTAAACCTGTTTCCATATATTATACTTGATGAAGTTAAAAAATGTACCTACTTTAATACCTAATTATAAATTATGCACCTAATAATTTAAACAATTAATCATTATACTTCCATACACATCAATCATATATATATTACTGTGCTTCATGACAACAATCATGATACCATCTCTTGATGGAGGTCATAATCAGAAACGTTATTATAACTGACTACTGCATAATTACTTAAAATCACTATTCCCGGGTTTGAATCTCAGCTGAAACCAAATATATAAATTGATTTTTGGTATTCTCATTAGGTTATGATGTGATCATCCATGTCTAACAGAGCTGCATTTTAACCTACATCCAATATTTTCATATAAGTGTTATATTGGGCACAGGTAGATTAGAATGAATGCTTATTGGACATACACTTTTAGTGTTCTTATATCTTCTTTGTAGTTAATAACTTTCAGTTACCCTAGGTACATAGGTTTCGTTCAAGTTGGAAGGATTTTGATTTTTATTGTGTTTAATGTTTGTTTAATTTACAACATAATATTTTATATCGTGATTTATACATATCTGTTATTCTAAGACTGAAAATGATAAGCCTCTTTACCATTATTACAAATGACTTTTTAGTATGGGAGGTCATGGCGCTCTTGTGTCTACACTGCGAAACCCAGGATTGTACAAGTCAGTTAGTGCTTTTGCTCCTATCTGCAACCCCAGTGCGTGTCCATGGGGAGTGAAGGCTTTTACTGGTTATCTTGGAGAAGATAAAAACAAATGGCAGGATTGGGATGCAACAGAACTTGTCAAAAAATATGATGGACCACCACTAACACTGCTTTTGGACCAGGTAAACTACCGTTATTTTAAATATTTTTATGGTTTCGCTGGTTGCACTTAACTACTTATGGAGCAGCTACTATTTATATTTGACATTTCATGTCTATTACAACGTTGAATAGTTGCTTAATAACTTCATGGCAAAAAAAGGTTGTGAATTTATTACACATTTTTTTTACAACATAATATTTCTTTTTTATTATCAACTACCTATCAGCCCTGGCTTCGTAAGGGGGGATTTTTTTTTTTATACGATGGGGTGACAAACGAGCACACAGTCCACCTGATGGTAAGTGGTTACTGTGACCCATAGACATCTACATCTATCCTCAATAAAGACTCAAGATGCAGATGCGTTGTCACCCGTGAGGACTAAGATGGAATGCCTCTTTGCCAGTAAAAAGGGTCTCCGGTTCTCTACACTCACCATACGAAACACAGCAGCGTTAAGCTGCTATTTTACGCTGGTTTTCTGTGAGAGCGTGGTCCTTCCCCGGTCGAGCCGACCCATTCGTGCTACAACTATATTACTAATATAGCTGCAGCATGGCTCTACCACGTAAATATCTGGATCTGGGATTTCTGGATCTCGACAACAGCGCCACCTACAGGGTTCAATTGTGAATCTAAACCATCCAGGGACCCACTCAAACACACACAAAAACTTTCCTCAAAATCAGTCGAGCCATTTTCGAGTTTTAGCAAGAGTAACGGACAGTTTGATTTTTATATATAGAGATTTTATGTATACATTCATTTTATCACAAATTATTCTGCTGAGGATTATGACATGACAATCATCCCAATTGTCAGTATATTATACATTATATGTTTATATGATGCCCAAATAAGTATTCATGTCATCATAACAGCTCATCAAAAATCCACGACTGAGCATCGGTCCTCCCCAAGGAATGCCACAAATCAAAATCCTGAGGCACCTGCATCTATAAACTTTGTATGGGTGGTGTAAGAATATACACTACCCCAAGTTAGGCAGCAGCATCTTCCTAATAACAACAGCTCTATATCTAAAATTAACATTAAAATATAATACTTAAAAAAGCATAACTATATTTAATTTAATCAATAAATAAAACAGATAATTTTATTTAAATAAACTTGTTTACAAATTTATTTCACTTATTAAATAATGACAGTCAAAATTCTCATAGCGTTTCATGACTAAAAAAATATATGCTTTTAGTAAATTTAAAGTTTAGTAACAGAATTTATAGTTTAGATTCTTCTGTGATGTGCCATGTAGAGCTTAGGTCGGTCCGCATGGACAATTTTCATAAACTTATCATTCATTGTCCACTGTATTGCAATCTTTTTAGTATTACTTACTTACAAAACAAAAAATATTTCCAAAAATCTACTTATGTAAACAGTATAAAAAGTTTGAAATTCAGAGTACGTCGCTCGCTTATAACGCGCTAAGCCTGACTGTGTATGTAACTAGAGGTTCCGCGCGATTGTGGGTAATAGGTCTTTACCTATGAAATTGCCGTTCTGCAGTACTGGATATTTAAAATCAAAATAATTTTTGTTTGGCTAAGAATTCTAATTTCAAATCAAGTTTTATTTATAAACGTAATTTTTTTTTCAAAATTAGTAATTTGTATATTAATTAGCGTTATGTTTTCATCGCATTTGAAACTGTTTCGTCTTCGTTTGATACGTCATGGATACGTTAAAAATTCGAGTAATTATGGAATATGAGTACCGTCGTGGCAGCAACGCGGCACAAAACAACGATGTTTACGGAACAAATACTACAAAAGAACGCACCACCTTTTATTGGTTTGCCCGCTTCCGTTCTGTGAATTTCGACCTGAAAAATGAACCCCGTGGTCTTCCGACAACTTTGGTCCACAATGACGAATTAAAGGTAGTGTTGTGGAAGCTGGATGATACTCAATCTACAACTGAATTAGCAGCAGCTTTCGACGTTAGCATCAAAACAATATTGGTTCATTTGCGTCAAATTGGCAAGGTAAAAATTTTTGACAAATGGGTGCCGAAGGTGCGACAAAGTATGCGTCTAGACGTGCATTGCATTACTCAACAGGCATACAAACGAAGGAATTTTGAACCGCATTGTTACCTCCAACGAAAAATGGATTCTGTTTGACAATCGCAAGCGCTCAGCAAGTTGGTTGGGTCCTGGTTCAGCACCTAAACAATGTTCTAAACGAAAACTTACCCCTAGAAAAGGCCGCGCTGCTCTTGCACAATAACGCGCTACCTCATACTGCACAACAGACCGTCTCCAAGTTACAAAAGCTGGGGTTGAAAGCTCTCCGTCATCCGCCGTACTCACCAGACGTTGCGCCTACAGACTTCTACTTTTTCCAGAACCGAGAGGCAGTACAAAATGCCTTTGAAGAATTTTTTGTTGTCTCCCGTATTAGTTGCATCAATGAACTCTGCCACTGCGTTGGCAAAGATGCATCGATTGCATGAGTTATTACTTTGATTAATAGAAATAAAAAATATAGATAAAAAATTACGTTAAATGATTTTATAAATAACTGCAATTTCATAGGTAAAGACTTAATATTTACATCACGCAGGTAGCAAGAGTGACAGAGGTCTGGTAGAGATTGAGATGAGCTGATTTTATTAAAAAAAAATATGTCGTTATGTAGTTAGTGTGGAATGCAGTATGTGCATAGTTTCCTGATTAAAGTCATATTATTTAAAGTATTGAAATTATAATGTGAATTACGTTATGCTATTTGCAGGGCGCTGCTGACAAATTTTACATTGAAAAACAATTACTGCCTGAGAACTTAGTGGAAGCTTGTCGCTCTGTTGGAGTACCAGTGATATTGAATCTGCGTGAAGGATATGATCACTCTTACTACTTTATTTCCACTTACATAGGCGAACACATCAATTTCCACGCTAAAATTTTGAAGGCTTGATATATAAATTTATAATTTTGTGAAAATACTAGTGACTATGGCCAGTGGCGTAGCATGGGTTCCTGCCGCCAGGGACCGCAAGAACAAAATATGCCGCCTCTCAATCCCCTGCCTTTTTTTTTAAACTGAATTTTATTTCCAAAATATGCCGCTCAGGGCCGTCGCCCCCTGCTACGCCACTGACTATGGCCCTATTACAATAAAGCTCTTACTGTATAGTGTTAGAAGACTAATAAAACAAGACGCTTTTGCGGTTTTTATTAAAACAAAATATAAAACATTGTCAATGTTTAATAATTCATATTTATGTTATGAGCTGTGCATTTAAAACAATTTATATTTTTGTACATATGTTCAATGTTCAAATAAAATAATTTCATATGAATTGGGTTTTATTAATTATTAAGACAATTTAAAATAAATAACAAAATAATTGAATGCAATTTAATTAATATCTGTATATTATCTGTTTTGTGTAATTATGCAATACACAATAAATTTTCTAAAACATTAATTATCTAGAGTCCTTTCTGAAGTTGTGGTAATACTGAAGGAATTTGTCTCGGTTTCCCCAAACATGTGATCCACCCCAATAGCACCAGGCTCTGTTGAAGACATAAAGGGCAATGTTGTAGTTGTATTATAAAAAATATTATTGATGGTAAATGAATATAATTAAAATCTGCTAAAATGTTGTAATTCAATTATAAAACTTTTTTCTGATAATAAATATTGATCAAAACATGTAATAATGATCAAATCCAAACACTTATTACCTCTGTCACAAAAGCATTTTATTTTTGTAGAATTAAGGGTGACAAACAAATACACAGAAAGTGGATACTGTGGCCCATAGACATCTACAAATTAAAATGTAGATGTATTGTCACCCCCTAAGGACTCAGTTGGAATGCCTCGTTTTTAGAAAAAAGGGTCTCCGGTACATCTCCACTCACCATACAAAACAGCAGCATTGAGCTGCTATTCTATGCGGGTATTATGTGAGAGCGTGGTCATTCCCTGGTCAAGTCAACCCATTTGTGCTGCACCCACAATATAGCTATAGCATTGCTCTACCACACATATAAATAGCTTAAAGTTGCATAGCAAATTATTTACACAACTATGTAAGACGATGCATTAATCAATCATACAACTCGATACAGAGAACTTTAGTACCACTGTCGGACATTCTTTGATTAAGCCGAATATTCGGTCGAGTACAAATATCCTGTGAACCTGCCTAATATTCATATTCTATAAATGAATGCATTTATAAATACCTAACATAAAATATTTTCTTGTATATAGTAATATTATTGACTTACATTCCAAATAAAGCTCCACCAAGATGTGCTGCATGGTCAAAAAATTTCCAACCCAATACAACTCCAGCAAAATCTACACCCATTATTACTTTAATAGCCTGTGAATAAAAAAATATTTTTTTTTTTAATTTGGAATATTGCTGTAAAATAAAATAATCAGATGTAATTGTCCACTCTTGGATTGACGATCACAATACCTGACCTACCCACCTTACCATACCTTTAACAGATGAGTATGTAGGATGGGGGATAGGAGCATGTATGTGGATGTGAAAGAAGCGTGAGCTATGTCAGGACTCATAATGCCAAATGAATGTATTATCTGCCTACCCCCCTTACCCCACACATGGAAGGCGCGAGAGTTTATGTATGTAAGATGCCTTTAGATCTTTCTAGTGTTTCCTATAGACTGCTTTTACGATATCTTAGTTTTTAACTTGAACAGAATAGAATAAATGTGATTATTACGTACCAAATACGATGTTGAAAATATTTGCTTATTTTGTTTCTCTCATCTTTAAAAGTGATCTTTAAACAATTCCGTTTTTTGCTATTATCTAAATGACGTGGCAGATTTAGGATTTAAAATTCGAATATTTTTGCAACGGTTGCGCGGGGTACCGGGGAGGGGTGACAGTTTGGCGCGGCATTTGTGCGGATTGGTCGATCACGATGTCGCAGCGGACTGGCGCGCACCACGCTTTCGCAGTTGAAGCTTATTTTGAAGCTAACAAATCGTGCACTGTTGCTCGCCGGAGATTTTGTTCTCACTACAATATTCGTCGCTTAAGTGAAGCACCGAGTGAAAGTTTGATTTTGACATGGGTCCAGAAGTTCCGTGCAACAGGTTCAACAGTTAACGAGCCACGCCCAGGTCCTAGCCGAACGTCGAGGACTGCACAAAACATTGAACGCGTTGCAAACAGCGTGCAAGAAAATCCCCGCCAGTCCGTGCGCAAGAGAGCGTCAAGTTTGCGGCTTCCAAAAACCACGGTGCACCGTATTTTAAGCTAGGACATTAAATTCCACCCCTTCAAGATCCAATTGGTACAGGCACTTAAACCAAATGACTACAGAGAATGCAAAGAGTTCTGTGATAACACGTTGAGCCGATTCCGTACTGTTAACACAATTTGGTTTAGTGATGAAGCTCATTTTCACTTAAATGGTTTTGTCAATAAACAAAACTGCCGCTATTGGGCGCCAAGAGGATTAAAACACCAACAAGCATTGCATAGCCCAAAAGTAACTGTTTGGGCAGCTCTTTCTGTCAATGGAATAATTGGACCGTTTTTCTTTGAGAATTCTCGTGGAGTAACCGTAACTGTTGATGTCTACCGCCGCATGCTTAGCGAATATTTTATTCCGAAACTAAGAGAACATCCATCGAACAGCTCTCCACACGTGGTTTCAACAAGATGGCGCCACGCCGCACACAGCAAAAACCACCATGAGTCTCCTTCGCGAAGAATTCCCCGGAAAATTGATTAGCCGATTTGGGGACATCGCATGGCCACCCAGATCGCCAGATCTCACCCCATTAGATTTTTTCTATGGGGTTACTTAAAGGGAAAAGTGTACGACAGCAACCCGACGGATCTATCGGATTTAAAAGAAAATATCGTGCGAGAAGTGATATTAAAAAAATAAAATCCGCATGTCTCGTCTTTCTTTTTATGACAAATATATAAATTTTAAAAGAATAACCTTCTTTAATTGAATCAAGAAATCCTAAATCTGCCACGGGACATCCTTTATATATAAAACTTTGATGTTCGTCGTGTATAAAAACAAAGGAATGTAATATTATATGATTTCCATCCAATTACAAAGTAGGCATCTCAAAGGTTAGAGTGAGGCTTTCGTTAAACTATGTCTCTGTAAGTTGTGTGGTAAATTAAAAATTGACTCTATAAGAATTACATGTGATCTATCATCATCATTACAGTCTTTCATAAGTCCACTGCTGAACATAGGCCTCCCCCAAGGAATGCCACAAAGCACGGTCCTGAGCCCCCTGCATCCATCGACTTCCTGCATGTCTTACCAGGTCGTCACTCCATCTAGTGGGGGGTCGCCTTACATTTCGCCTACCGGTACGAGGCTGCCACTCGAGAACCTTTCTTCCCCATCGGTTGTCGGTTCTTCGAGCTACATGGCCGGCCCACTGTCACTTCAGCTTACTAATCCGTTGGGCTATGTCGGTTACTCTGGTTCTACTGCGGATATCCTCATTCCTAAGTTTATCACGCAGAGAAACTCCGAGCATAGCCCTCTCCATAGCTCGCTGAGCGACCTTGAGCTTCCTCATACGGCCAACAGTGAAGGACCACGTCTCAGTTCCGTAAGTCATCACTGGCAACACGCACTGGTTGTACAATTTCGTTTTAAGGTTTTGAGGTTGTCTGACGAGAAGATGTGTCGTAGCTTCCCGAACGCTGCCGAGCCGAGTTGAATCCGACGATTAACCTCTCGGTCGAAGTTGGACTTACCTAGTCGGACTATTTGTCCCAGGTAAACATACTCGTCAACAACTTCGAGCTTAGTGCTCCCAACAACTACCGGCATAGGTGTGACATGGACATTAAACATAATCTTTGTTTTGTCCATGTTCATCTTAAGACCTATCTGTTGGGAGACACTATTGAGGTCATTGAGCATAGTGCTTAGGTCCTCCAGCGATTCTGCCATAAGGACTATATCGTCGGCAAATCGAAGGTGAGTGATGTACTCGACATTGATGTTAATACCGTATCCTTTTCAGTCCAGAAGTTTGAAAACGTCTTTCAATGCAGCGGTGAAGTTTCGGGGATCTATATTGAATAAAAATTATTCTATTCTGTGCTTTACTATCTTTGGCTGCATCATAACTTACCATCAGGTGGGACAGTAGTCAAGCACTGGCTTATAAGAGTTAAAGAATAACTTTATATAAAAAATAAATATGTGTTTAAAGAGTTGACAATAGGAATGAATGCATCATTGTTTTAAATACTTACCGTACCTGCAGCAAATGTATACATAGGTAAAAAGATTATACTCAATCTTGTGTCGGGGTACTGCATACACACAAACGACAAAACTGACATGATTGCTCCAGACTGTAAATATAAAAGAATTTATTGTAGTTATCAATAACATAAAGCATAATCTCGAATTAGTAGAAACATAAAAGTATTAAGGAATATAAAATCACCATACCTCTCTCAAAACATCAAACTATACCAATAAAAATGACCAATATTAATATTATCTTTTTACAAATGTAAGTCATGAGGGTTCAGCAAGAAAACTGTACTTAGCTTGAATTTACATTAAGTAAAGGTTGTATAATATTGTTATTGTAAACATGCCTGAGCTTCCTAATAAATAAATTGGTTAACAAACCTTATGAGATATTATGTTACATATGATGTTCGAGAAAATTTGATGTTACTAATTTCTTACATTACTTGTCGTTATAATATTTAGAGGTTAACATAACATAATATGTATACATATTTTAATTAAAAAAATGATTCTTACCGCTCCAAGACTCAAGCCAGGTTGGCTGAGTACCACTTTATAAAGAAAACTGGCAAAGCTACTAATTACACCAGCACTGAGATACATTGCTACAAATTGCTCCTTGCCAAGAGATGCCACAGCCGCTATTGGAAACAAAAGAATAAATATAATAATATGATAAATGATAGTATACAGTAATAAACATCATTGCAATAAGTAAAAGTTTAGTACCTGGCATAAAGCTGTAAAGAACATACATATTTGCAGCCAAATGAAAAGCTGAGTAATGACTAAATGTGGATAGAACCATTGGAAGGCATTTTGCTCCTGTAAATATTATCATTTTTAAATATTTTATTAGTAAGTATCTATAATTAGGTACTGTTATTATTTTACATACGTCCAGAAGGATTTGAACAGAAGTATTTGACCATGAAAGGCTGTAGTGATTTTACACGCCAAGCACCAAACACTAAGAGATTTGCTACAAGAATTGGATAGAACACCTTTTCACTTGGTCGAAGTGAACTCCACCATTTGGTTAAAGAATTTGGTTCCGATTTCTGAGAAAAATAAATATTAATGAACTGGTTAGTATATATTTTCATATATTTTATATTAATTTATTATACCTACATCAGAAAATAACTATATATGTTACTGTAAAAGCTAGAACTATGGTAAATTCTAAGATTTTGCAGTAAAACTTAAGATTTACCAAGTCCACAAGGTAAAAGTCCGAAGTGTTCTATGGTAATCGTTTATTTCGGACTTTTACAAGCATTCACTCAGTAAATCTTAGTTTTTACCTCTAAGACACGGTAAATGTTGAAAAATAGTCATGTCTAGACGTGTTCGGCGCATTATCGTTCTTGCGAACAGTGTGCAGCCTTCCCCGCTACCTGTGTCACCTTCTGTTTTTATTTTGAGACTGCAACGTCTCCGGCGCTGCGAGAAGAGCAGCCTCTACGCCTTTGCGTAATAAATCGCAGGCATCCCTCCTCGCCTGCGCAGCTTCGGCTACGATTTGTTACAGCAGGCGAACGCTTCTCCCCCTACGCGCCTCCGGCTTTATAAAAACACTAGGGGTAGGACAGACTCGTACCAGGTGGAGTCGGGGTCAATCAATTCGGTTCTTTGACATAATTTATTAATCAATGTTATACACATATTGTATTGCTTTAATTAATTCTTCGAAAAGAATCGACATCCCTACTGACGATGACAATGACAATACAAAATAGCGTCAGTTTTACAGTAGGAATTGACATAAATATTGCAAAAATAACTGATTTTCAATAATATTTTTCTCTAAAAATACGCATTTCCGCATGTTGAAACTTTAACTACTTTTTTGCGTGTGTGCTTATAATAATGTAACCTTTATATAAGAAAAACATCAACCCCCAACTCGACGGACGTCAATGAAAAGCTTTATTTTTATATATTCTACTTTCAAAAATTACCATAAAAATGTTTTAAAATTATGTAGGTAATATGATTCAATGTTTAATAAATACTTTCTACTTATATAAATATATTGTTTCATTTCCAAAAACAACACTTACTGATAGTCTTTGGACTTTGTCTTAAACCTAGGATGTATCAAACTCTAACGGTAAAAGCGCAAAAAATCGTCGCATTTTATATCAATCCTGACATTTACCAGCTCATGTTGGTAAATCCTAGGATTTAAAAGTAAAACCTAAGATTCACCAAAATTCAGGCTTTTACAGTAACATATACATCATATTTTCTAATGTATTAGTAGTGGATACTGATTGATATACACTTTCAGAATCTGTATTAAAATTAATATTTAATTAATTATGAGCATGTACAATTAAAACAAAATCTAAATTTAATTTTTTAAATTGTAATTATCTTAGTAAAACCAGTTTTGGTCTTCTTAAAGGGAGCATACCCTTTTATTTTATTTTCTATAGAATAATTTTTTTGACCTTTATATTTTAATAATTAATAATTATACTCCACCAAATCTAAGGAATACCTTTTGAGGTTTAACATTAATTATTCCGCAATAACTTTGTACAACCATTACTATCTATACAAATAAATAAAATTAAAGTGTGTTTGTAATGTCAAAATTATAGCGTTTTACTAAATGCATATCGAAGTATAAGCGGTACTTATAACAAAAATACACTTTTTACAATTTTTGTCTGTCTGTCTGTTTGTTCCTGCTAATCTTTGAAATAGCTGGACCGATTTTGACGGGACTTTCACTGGCAGATAGCTGATGTCATAAGGAGTAATTTAGGCTACTTTTATTATAGAAAAATAATTAGGGTTCCTTGCAAAAAAACTTAAAACCCTAAATTACACGCGGGCGAAGTCACAAGGAACAGCTAGTTTAAAATAAAATTTCATGTCAATCCAAAGATTTATGAAGTTACCATACAACATGTATAGTTCTTTATCACTAATTTAAATTTGAATCTTTCAAACACAGCAAAATATAAAAATAATCACCAGAATCAACTATTTTGCTTGACATTCTTCCAATGGTATGTTGTTATATACCTTACCCTCAGTGTTTGGATGATTCAAATTCATGTAATCGGTAAAAATATTCAAATAACTGAACCTTTGAATTTTTTAATTTATCATTTGGTTTATTTCAATTTTTACTTTATATTTACATAAATTATATGAATCATAAATTTAAAAAATCTTTCTTTTTATCATTTCTGTGAATCCCACTGTGGTGAAGTTGTGAGTAAGTTTAGATGTCAGCTTGTACAACGATAGCTTAGAGTTATTGTGTAACATCTGAAAAGGAATTGGCTTCCAAAAAAAAATTACCAACAAAATAATTATTTAGAGACATAAATGCAAAGAATAACATTTTTATGAGAAATTTAAAATACAACTAATTGGGACAACTTAACTTACTTATATTCATTCATGAAACATGGCTAAACACCAACCCACTCTGCCGCAGACATGAACCGATGACATATGGCCCGTGAGAAAGGTTTGGTGTCTTATTATTTGCCATTTGGGATACGTCGGAGGAGGATTTTTAGAAAATACATCTACTACACAAGAGATGACTAGGTCAAAGTGATGGATAAAATAAAGACAATTGTTATGGACAACTATGAAAGAGACATTAATTTTGAATGCATTATAGAAAACTAAGTAATAATTAATGTAAACAAAGCTCAATTAGTTGTAGTGAAAGTGATTAAATAAATTTTTAATCTAGTGCAATCTGTAATTTATATTCTGCAGAAATTATTAGTAGTAAACAATAAATATGATGAAACTGACAAATTTTGTGTTATGAGTTATTTGTTTGTAAATGATTACCAATTCTACAGAAGTATTCAATATCAATTTCTCTTAAGAATCGAACATTTTAAGTAACAATTTTTCAGTTAGAATGCCTCGTCCAATACATATAACAGCTGTCAAAAGCTATTTCTTAGATTTGGTGGAGTATGTCATCAAATTTGCCAAAGTATTTACTCACATGTTGTGTTGAAATTTTTTTTTGTTGAGCATTTAGCCAGGTACCAGGTTTTCTAAGTAATGATGCAGCATGAGCACGTAAATTTTCATATTCCCAGATAACACAGCCAATAAGACTACATGTTGATACCTAAAATGAAATATTTTTAAACCTATTATCCACCTTAGATTAAAGAAAATTAAACATTATAGTCAGTCTTTTTAGATACTTAACAAAAAATATTTGATTGTTTACAAAAAACATATACAAAAATATGTTGCAACGTAAAAATAAGCCCTTACTCCGACAGTAAAAAGAAATGGTTTTAATAATCCTCTTGCGTTTAAAGGAACAGAATCATAGTGGACATTTTCTAATGGATTTGGTTCAAGCCTTGGTTGCCTCACGCTACGCCGTGAGTTATGAAATGAATTACGTTGTAATCGTCCACATCCTAGCCTATTCGAACTTAGTTTGATGATTTCTGGCTTGCTAAAACAAAAATACACATTTATACACAATATTTAAAAATATTAGGCAATTAATAACAAAATTTATTCACCAGCAAATCGACAATTCTCTAAGTGACCAAACATTTCTGAAAAACATTATAAAATTATTTTAAGCAGTTATAATATCTCAATGGTACATAATTATGAATTTAATTTAATGAATTCATGTCTGGCTGGAAGTGAAAACAGAGTTATAAAGTTATAAAACGGGAATCCGAATTCCATAAATAATGACAATTGACAAGATGACAAGTGACAATGACAATCCGGCAGTCAGTGTTGCCAAATTATTTTTTTAAGAAATCATGATAATCCTAAAAAACGCTTAAACGTGCAAATGCTCAATTTCACCAACATCCCCTAAACAATCACATAGTTAGACGACCGCTAAGCTAAAAGGTCCCCTAAACTACCCATAACTAAAATTTGTTTTCACGAACGCAACATACCCATAGCTAGCCCCTCCTTATGTGAGATTTTTTCCGACAACCGGTTACCGGTTTTATCGGAAATGATATATATTAATACAAAAAATACGTATTTATGTATTATTTTAATGACGAAATTATTTCTTTCATATTTTGACTGATAGATGTTTTCATTTTGCGAATATTTTAATAAAAATATTAGTCTACTTTTGACAAGTCACCGTATTTGACACTCTGTTTTATCTGTGCATCGACTGTATTGCCATATTGCCGTTCCACCACATTTCTTGTTCTAATCTTCTAATGTGGGCCTCATTATATTTTCGTTCACCATTTGTTGTAGGGTTGAGATAAGGTGTCAAGAGATAAGGCTGATAATAAATAAGTTTTAAGTATTATTGTATAAAATAATGTAATTTATATGATGTAAAATATTTCTTTTCTATTCCAGGTCGTACCTTAAACTTTCAAAATGTATTAGTAGTACCTAAAAATGGTTCTGCAAATACCTAGTTTAAGTGTACTTTTTAATTAATTAAATATCCCTTACCTATGCATAATCTTTTTATTAAATCATAAGTATTGATTTAATCAATATTTTGAGCTCTGTCATGAATGCTTGCATGTAAGTTTGCTAGCAATATCTGCAGAATGGTGTTATTCTTTTTGTTTGTAAAGGAAGTTAAATCAAAACGAGCAATGTACCTGGTGACTGAATTTTTAAATAAGTACATAAGGGAATCTAGCTATACCATAGAAGTCTATCTTAACTCTGTCTTGGTCTCTGTTTGTATCAGGAAATATGATGAATTCTTGACGTAGGGATACAAATGCTTGAGACACTTCTATCCGGCTGGATGTAGCCAAACTAGTACCACCCATATCCTCCTCAGCAAGCAAGTGATTGCCAGTGTCGTAGTATCATAAAGCAATTAATAATTGATTTATGGGTGGTATGGGTGATAAAGTGAATCACAAATTCTACAAATTAGAACAGGTAGGTACTTAGTCGATATACCTCGGTTATCAACTTACCATGGTAGGTAAGTTAGCACCAAACAGGTACCTACGGCCTACCTAATACAGACTCATTTTCCATTCAAAAGTTACTGTTAGGAGAGCAATAAAGTAACCTTTTATGCTTTTATCTTTATTTCGTAGCTAGGTATAAGTGGTAGGTATATGTAATAAGTGAAAAGGTAGGATCCACCTATTGAGTTAATTAAATATTTAATACACTAGAATTTTAATAATATTATGGAATATGCTACCTACATTAACATTGATTACCTATGTAAATAGGTACTCACCTATTATCAGGAAATTTCAAAAAATGTTCACTTTTTTCCAACAAATATATCACTGTTGATTTAGATCGATTATTTCAATGATTTCGGTGGAAAAATCTATTTCATCGAAATCATTGAAATAATTTTGTCGTTTTCGGTTATATTTTAGGTCTTCGACTAAGATTTATATCAAATATAGTATCAGTCGTGTCTAAAAATCAAATAGATCACGGTCCATCTTGTCCTCTAGAAGTCGCTTTTACTTATATAAAAGTTTATGAGACCAATAATCCATCTCATAAATTTAGGGGATCGTTTAGTCAGTAACGGACCCTTTAAAAGTGGTGAAACGGAAACTATCCCCCAACTGGCCCCTAAATATGCTAAGGGGTCCCATAAATAACATAGATAACAAAAAAAAAATAGACAAAAATTTATTATTTTAATTCTTTATTAAAGCAAGTTTTCAAAATGACATCCTCCTACTGCAATACAAACACGACAACGTTTTAAAAAGTTATGTTTTAACTGTCTGAAAGAGCGTGTATGATGATTTTTAATTTTGCTTGCAGCTATTTCCAGATTTTCTCTCAATTCCTCTTCATTGCCGACTTCCCGAGCGTACACCAACTCCTTGTAAAATCCCCAAATAAAAAAATCGATAGGGTTGAGATCTGGCGAACGTGCAGGCCATTCTATCGGCCCTGCCCACCCAATCCATCTTTGTGGATACGTTTCGTTGAGATGGTGTCTTACGTGTCTTGCGTAGTGGCAAAGAGCACCGTCATTTTGAAAAATCATTTGTGGTCGTACCGCAATGTTCACGCCTGCCAACAATTCATAAAGGTGATCTAACCTGGATGGTAATTCAAAGGGACCAATAAATTCTCCATTTAGGATCTCAGACCACAGGTTTACGCTAAAGTGGTGTTGGAAGTTTGATGCCCTTGCCAGACGTGGGTTTTCGATGGCCCAGCAATGGTAATTGAAATTATTACAAATTCCAGTCCTTTCGAATCGGGACTCGTCTGTCCAAAGTATTTTCCAGTCAAGTATTCATCAGTCTTCTTCAGATATCTGTAACATGGTTTCACAAAAAAACTACTCTTCTTCGATAATCAGAATCCTGAAGCTGCTGGACGCGCTGGGTATGGTACACATCATGGTACCCTTCTGCAAAACAAAAAAAAATCCAAATACATTTCATAATTAATACAAGTTAATATCTTAAGACTGTTGTTGCAGCATTTTTTAAGGCTCACCTTTATAAAGAAAGAAGTTCGTGGAACTCCAGCTCGTGTAGCTAATAGCTATTCTTCTTGAACTTGTAGAAGGCTCTCTTTGGACATGTTCCACGACTTTGTCAACTCGATCCGGATTCCGGGGTACTGGTGGCGAGATTGATTGCGACCGAGGACAGGTCCAGCCATCAGGGTGTTATGTACGTTAATAAAAACCCTATGATCCGGGTAATTAACCACTCCTTCTCCTCGCCTCTCCATTCATCATCATTACAGCCCTTCATAAGTCCACTGCTGAACATCGGCCTCCCCCAAGGAATGTCCCAAAGCACGGTCCTGAGCCACCTGCATCCATTGACTTCCTGCATGTCTTACCAGGTCGTCACTCCATTTAGGTGGGGGGTCGCCCTACACTTCACCTACCGGTACGAGGCTGCCACTCGAGAACCTTTCTTCCCCATCCGTTGTTGGTTCTTCGAGCTATATGGCCGGCTCACTGCCACTTTAGCTTACTAATCCGTTGGGTTATGTCAGTTACTCTGGTTCTACTGCGGATATCCTCATTTCTAAGTTTATCACGCAGAGAAACCCCGAGCATAGCCCTCTCCATAGCTCGCTGAGCGACCTTGAGCTTCCTCATAAGCCAGAAGTGAAAGACCACGTCTCAAATCCATAAGTTATCACTGGCAACACACACTGGTTGTACAATTTCGTTTTCAGGTTTTGAGGTATACCTGACGAGAAGATGTGTCGTAGTTTCCCGAACGCTGCCCAGCCGAGTTGAATCCGTCGATTGACCTCTCGATCGAAATTGGACTTACCTAGTCGTACTATTTGTCCCAGGTAAACATACTCGTCAACAAATTCAAGCTTAGTGCTCCCAACAACTACCGGTATAGGTGTGATATGGACATTAAACATGATCTTTGTTTTGTCCATGTTCATCCTAAGATCTATTCGTTGGGAGACACTATTGAGACCATTGAACATAGTGTTTAGGTCCTCCAGCGATTCTGGCATAACGACTATATCGTCGGCAAACCGAAGGTGAGTGATGCACTCGCCATTGATGTTAATACCACATTCTTTCCAGTCCAGTAACTTGAAAACGTCTTCCAATTCAGCGGTGAAGAGTTCCGGGGATATAACGTCACCCTGTCTTACACGTCTCTGCAGTTGGATAGGTTTCGTACTCTGAATCTGTACTCAGATAGCCATCGTAGCCCTACTGTACTAACACTTCAGCACCTCGATATATTGACAGCCAACTTGGCTTCGCTGAAGGGACTGCAGCACCGTCCAAATTTCGACGGAATCAAAGGCTTTCTCATAATCCACATACGCAAGGCAAAGTGGCAGATTATACTCTTCTGTACAATTTGCCGAAGGGTCTGTATGTGGTCTATGGTACTAAAGCCTTTTCGGAAACCGGCTTGTTCGAGAGGCTGGAAGTCGTCAAGTCTGCGTGCGAGACGATTCGTAATGACTCTCGAAAACAGCACGTAGACGCGGCTCAGAAGGGAAATCGGTCTGTAGTTCTTCAAGAGAGCGTTGTCACCTTTCTTGAAGAACAAGACCACCGCACCTCTGCTCCACGCCTCCGGAGTAGTACCACCATGGAGGACGGAATTAAAGAGCTTTGGATGGACTTCAAGTACCGGTTTTCCACCCGCTTTCAGAAGCTCCGCTGTAATTCCATCCTCACCTGGGGCCTTGCCGTTTTTAAGGTGCTGGAGAGCCATTCTAATCTCGCTCAGACTGACGTCCGGGATATCATCGGAATAATGTCGGATAAGACTCGCTCTTGGATCGTTACTCACACTTGCGCGGGCTCCAATGACGACGTGTACAGCTGCCCATAGAACCTCTCTATCTCACTCAAAATCTCAGGTGTCCCGGAAACGATGCTGCCACACTCTGTCTTCGGCTTTGACAGTTGGCTCTTTCTGGCAGACAGATCTCTGGCAAAGACTTTGGAGCCTTGGTTCCGCTCGATCGCTTCTTTAATACCAGCTGTATTGAAGTTGCGTAAGTCCCGTCGCATGCATTTGGAGATCTGTCTGTTCAGTTGCCCGTATGCTGTCAATTCTGTTAAAGACTGTAGCTTCATCTCCCGTCTAACAGCCATGAGATTAAGCT